GCACCAGTAAACACAGATAGCCTAATCTGGCTGACCAAGTTCACCTCTAAACTCTTCTAATTTTCCTCCAGTTCATCATACCTCTTAGAAACTCTACTGTCGTTAGTCATAGCACAGAAAAGTTCAGTCTCTTCTATTGTAGCCATCTTTACCCCTATTCCTATAGTCTTAAATAAAATATTCCTGGCCTGTTTAACTCCATCTTTGCAGTTTTTCTTTGACACTTACCATCTTGTTTGAAGGCATCTGAGGAATGATAAAGACTGATGGGAGAATAATAGTGTTGAGCTGCCCCTCGCCAGCTGGGCGAAGAGACACTCAGTGTTCCCAAGGAAGGGCTGCTGTATCGCTGTCTGGCCTTGGAACCAAAGAGAGATGAGGATGAGCTCTTCTTAATTCTTAGCAAAGCTGCTTGTGAAGTAGGGAGACCAGGAGGAGCTTCAGAATACTCTGTAAAACAAAACAATAATAAAAAGTGAGTTCTAAGGAGACTATTTATTTTTTTAAAAATAAAATTTGTTTCTACACAGATATGGTTAAAAATCTTCCTTGGAGCTGCAAACAAATTCATACTACAGTGTGAATAAAAAACATTTATGAAAGTCCTACTGATTGTAATATTGTACTTTATAAGAAAAAAAAGATATTAAGGGGAAAAAAGCAAATAAAGAAACATAGTGATGGAGGGAAGCAAAAGAAAGAAGACAATAAAGGAAGGAACAAGGGCATGCAAAACTTCAAGCCTTCTACTTTCCTAGTCAGAAATGTTTGAGAATCAGCCTTATACATTTGCCTTAATATTTCATTAAAAACACTGAAACAATATTCATCCCACATACATTAGATCAGATTCTTTTTATTGTTAAAAATAGGGGTGCAGGGAAAGGGGGCTAGAGTTGTGGCTCAGTGGTAGAGTATTTGCCTAGCATGTGTGAGGCCCTGGATTTGATCCTCAGCACCACATAAAAATAAATAAGATAAAGGTATTTAAAAAAATAACGGGAGGGAAGAAAAAATAATCTCACTTCTGTTCTTTAAATATATTGGGTCTGCATCACCTATAAATTATAATTTCATAGGAAATATATCTAAGGGAGCACATAAGTTTAGAATAACCTTGAAATTATAACTTTTAACTAGAAAAGCAAAATAACTATGGTACATAAAAAGAATTTGAATGTAATTTCTTTTGTATGTTTTGTTGTATAATTTATAAAGCTTACTACTATCAAGTGGCATATTATTATAAAGCTCCTACTTTTATTGATTACTGAGAATATTTTGTCTGTAATTTAATTACCAAAGTATTTGCTTAGAAAAGGTGTGCATAGTGCCTGGAATAGATTGTACTAATTTATTTCTTGTTCACAGGGAAGATAAGTTAGATGCATAAATTAATTTTTTAAAAAAACATAGAAATTATAATATTAAAGAGCAATTAGGAGAGGGATTTTTTTTCTATGTCTAAGATCAATTCAACCAGACAATTTGCTGGTCATAAAAATCCTATTAGCAATCAGTCAATTTTGTTGAAGGTATCTGACATTTGACCTTAGTGATTGCTAACTTAGTGTAAGATACAGGTAATTTTTTTTTCAGTAAGCTTTCTCATAATTAAAACTACTCAGAATCATTACACTTCTTCATAAAGATATTTTGGAATTCTAGAAGCATTTCTGTGATTTGGAAATAACAGGTTAGGTGTTAAGCATCAAATTAAGTTTAACATCTTCTGCACTGTGAAATTGTAAATATGAGTTCTCTGAAACTCTATAAAGTATATTTTTAGATGTTTTCTACACTTAAAATGAGTATGATATGTGTAGTTCAAGACCATCAGGAGTTGTTAAGAGATTCATGTCCTTTAGTCTTTGCTGTTCAAGCACAAGCCTGGTGAAAGGTGGATCAATTTTAACTGAAAAGAGCTAACTTCTCCTGGGCAAGCTATGTGAGAATAGATTATGGGTAGACATAAAATCTCCTTTAAAACTTCGAATTAAATGCAATTTTTGGCACCTAGAGGTGTAAGGTAATGAAAAGAGAATGAGTTTTCCTTTAAAGTGGTTTGTAGTTGTAGTTTCTGAACCTATTTATTTCTAGCCCAGTCTGCTACTTAGTATTTTAACTGCTTGCTCTGATCATTTATAAAATAGAGAAGAGAAAAAGAACCATGCCAGGCTAGTGTTAAAATTAAAATAATATGAGGTTATTTTTTATAGTTCTTAAAGCTAGAAAGGGATAATTCACAGAAAACCAGAGGACCATAATGAAGATTAAAAAGGCTAGAATCATTATCATGGTTGTAATTATGTATAATAACAGCTTTAGGTTCACTCTCCAAGAGGTACAGAAATTGATTTATGCCATTAGTGTCAATAGAGATGAGCCAACTGGCAGTTTGGCTGTGTTCTCCACACTAGGACTTCATTTGTTATGTAATCAGTTGCATCTGTTGCAACAGTGATTGCTTTTCTATCAATTAATGGGATCCTAAAGCTGTTACTAGAAATCTGGCAATTCATTCATTTGTGCATTCAACAAACATGTAGTGAGAATTAATCATGTGTCAAATACTAGGGACGCAAAGGTGAATAATATATTGCCTCCATCTTCAAGAAGTTTTAATCCAGTGGAAATGAAAGTCATATATAGAGCAATTATAATCTACTGTAATAGAAAAATGATTTAAGGAACTATGGGCTCTCTCTGATATGGGTAAGGATTCCTCTCATTCAGTGGATGACCCTCAGAAAATGATTTCCAGAGGAAATTCTATCTAAACAGAGTCCTGAGAGCCCATTATCTATCAGCTAAGAAAAGCCCACAGCAGAGAAGAAAGGTATTCCAGTCAAAGGAAAGAAAATTTATGAACACCTGTAAAGGAAAGGCATCATGACATGCTTAGTGAACTAAAATAGGAGCCCAGAATATGAGGGAGTAAATTGGGCACAGTGGGAAGGCTGGATAATTAAACAAGACCAAATGATGAAAATGCTTTAAGTATCATGCTAATATGGTCTAGCTCTGAAAGGGGAATGGCAAAAGTTTCAGAGTCCATTCTGGCTGTAGTGCCATATTGTAATAGGACACAGTGCAGAAACACTATTCAAGGGCCTAAAGCTATAAGATAAGCAAAGATTAATAAGAATAAGAAGATGGTAATATGTATGGAAAGAAAATGAGAAAGATTACAGACTACATAGAGTGAAAAAAAAAGTAAAGGACAAGAATTAGGCATGGTCTAGCCACTGAAAGATGGAAAGCAATGCATTCAGGAAAAGGCATATGTTGGAGGTGAGGAGCCATGAATTCTGGTTTGGAAAAGTGGAGAGCTTGAAGAACACCTTGGGAATTGTAATTATAACATTCTGCCAAAGAAAGGGAGAGTTCAGTCTCAGGAGAGGGATGATTAAATGGTACTTGAATAAAGGGTTACTGAAACTATTAGGATGGGTCAGTTTGCCAAGGAAGTATTTAAGAAATGGAGTGTTGAAAATGAAAATGGAATTCAGGGGAGCACCAACATTTAAGAGAAAAACCAAAGTTGAACCTGGACAGGAAAGAAGGAAAGCAGAGTGTCATTGAAGAAAAAGAAAGTGAGTCTTTTGACACGGATAAGGAAATCGCTGATAGGGCAGAGACCAAGTGCAGACGCTAAACCTGCAGAGAGAGGATACACAGCAGAGCACAGCCTGCTCCACACAGTGTGGGGAAGATGTGCAGGGAGGTTAGAGCCAAGGGGTGAAGGGGACTTTATAAGCTCTGGAGAGAGTATGAACCTCTACACTGCCATATCCATTTTATTTACATTCAGGCCCAGGCCTTATCCTGTGGTTTCTTTCAGTCTCATGGTCTGAGTGCCCTGGATAATCATTCAAACTTGCCACACCACTTCTCAGAAATATGTTTAATCAGTTTTTACTATGACATCTCTAGTTCCCCTATTCCTCGCTCAGGTTCTAGGATCCTGAGTTCTATAAAATAGATATATTAGCATAAATAAATGGGAAAGTGTGTTTCAATTAGAACTTTGCTTAGCCTTCAACTTTGGGATACATTAACTCAACAAATGCAGGCATCTGTTAAGAGTGAAAAATAACTGTACCTCCTTCCTAGTTTTAAATTCAAGAATTTGCATTTCTGTTGATCTTATTGTACAGTCTCTTTCTACCTCCCCCTCCTGCACTGTTTTTAACAATACTATCTATGATAGCAACTACTTTGAGACCTACGACCTATTGATCATAATGCCTTTTCACACCCCCATATTCTCCTCTCCTTAGTAACTTCCGGGTTGGAGGTCATTCACTTGAAACCAAAATACCTTTACTTTTCACCCTACCTTGTTTTCAAAGGCTAAAAATATTCCTACTAATTTAATTCCAACTATGGACATAGTCGTAGCTAGAGAACACAGTGTCATGCTTAAAGATATTAGTTCATTACCATTAACCTCAAAGTCCCTTGTGAGCTTCTACTCACAAGTGCTACTGCATCTCTGGAGTCTAATTAATTTCATGCATTCAGTATAAATAATTTACATCTTATCTCCTCATATGCCTACCTTCTTGATCTTCTCCATTGAGAAAATAGAAGCAATCAGAACAGAGAGTCCCTCATACATGCCTACCATCTGTAGGTATACATGCACAATTTGCCTTGTTTTCACTATTGTGTGTCAAATAAAGAACTGAGCATCTATTAAAGAACAACCTGTCTATGTGTGTGCATTGGATCCTATTCCATCCCACTTTACAACTCCTGAAAATAGAGGAATTCAGAAAATTCCTATTTCTTTAACATCAATTTTTATCTCTGCTAGATTGTTCCCATAACAATATAAACATTGCTTTAACTTTTTCTTAAGGAAATTATTGACTTCATCATTCCTTCTGACTATTTTCCTTTGCAGCAATTCTCCTGGAAAAGAGTTGTGTATGGTCAATGCATTCAATTCCTCTCCTTCCATTCACCCTTGAGTCTATTCCAAGCAGTGTTTCTTGAACCACGCCACATTTCTTTTCAACATTAAAAATGACCAGGCAATTGTTAAATCTAAGATCAATTTTCACTATACCAGACCTATCAGAGTTTATCATCTCTTTTCCCTTTAAACATTTTCTTCATGATTTCCAGAGACCATAACTTCAAATCTTCATTCTTTTCTTACCAGCACTTTATCTCTTTGTCTCCTAAACTTTTAAAGATTAGTTAACCCTAGGAGACAACTCTTTTCAATCTAAATGACCCCTTAAATGATCTTGTTCAAAAACATTCCTTCCCTGATGAATTCTACCTGGAAGTGCTAAGTTCTGGGCCCAGGATTTCAAAGAGGCCAAGTGAGATAGAAATTTGAGTGGCACTCTTGAGTGGCTCAGGACTGGATTCTTTGTAGACATAATTCCTAGTTTTCTTTTTGCAAACTCAAACATCATTTTCTCCCTAATGGA